CCTCCCTTTCTCACCCTTTTCCTCCATCCTGCTGGTGTTAATCATTAGTAGGGGGTGGAAAAGACTGGCAACTACATTCCTACAGTCTGATTTCTCCTCTCGGACCAGCATGGCAGCTCTACTTCCTCCTAAAGCCCTGATAACATCAGGAAGATAGAGAGTGCACACACACACTAAGGTTCCCACACACACACACTAAGGTTCCCACACTGCGACTGTAAACGATCCAGGAGGTGTATTAATGGCAGCAGGTGACTTTAACTGTGTCACGTGTAACCGGACCTGAGCTGTGGGTGTTCATTAAACACTGTGGTTAAACTTTAGCCATGTCTCAGGTGCTTTGAACAACATCCTCTGTGACACAGATACAAGCTCTGCTAATGGCTACAGCAGGTCCAGAAGGAAAGTGACCAAAGGCTGCAAAGGGCTCAAACACACGTTGGGAGAAGGGACGCAAAATACTTTCATCCTTCAAAACGTGTTTCTAGGTCTTTAATTGCTGTATAGTAGAGCGAGAACAATTTAAATAATGGATTAATGTGAGGATTTGCTGCTGTTCTTTGTTACAGTCATCTGAATATCTTTGAATATGTGATAGCTATTTATTTTATGACTAATCAATTAACTGATTGAGGATTAACTGGTAGATTGACAATAAAATAATAGTATTTGACTATAATAATAAGTTATTTGCAGCTAGAATTTGCTTGTTTTCATTACAATTCTGTTAATCAATCAAGCTAATTCAAATGTTTTATTTCTTTAAACTTATAATATTACACTGAATACCTTCGGTTTTGGGATTGTTGCTGTCAAAACAAGCAATACGAACGTACCATCTTGGACTTTTTCACTTTTAACTGTCATTTTACAGCCCAAACAGATTAACTGAAGGATCGTTTGTTGCAGCCCTAATAATGACTGAACTTAGTTTAAAGTCACAATATTTTAGGCAGCTTTTTCATGGCTTTTCTGCTTTCTTTAATGTAACTTAACACAACATGAGCCAGTACATTTATTTTAAAAAGGAACCTAAAACTACGTTCAAAAAGGAAGCTCGTGTAAGAACAAAGGAAACCGAGCTGTGGGATTCCTCAGGGTGACTAAGGCAGAAGGATTTTGCAGTGAGCAACTGGGACTCATCACTAGTGAAAATGGCATTCCACACAGACCTGGCATTCCTCTGCTCTGCTCCGTCCGACAGTACAGCTAAATTAGAGGAGGAGGAGGAGGAGGAGGGCTGGCCTGTGCCCCTGGCGTCTGAGCTGCCGTGAGTAGAACTCAGCAGCCCCATCTGCCCAGTATGAAGCCATTCGTCACCTGTGAGCGCTCAAGCAGGACGAAGGGTCTGGGTGCCTCTCTAGGCTTCCACGAGCACCTCGGACCATCCATCTCTCTGTCACCGCTGCCACGCATGGGTATGCCCCCTGCGACACCGTTACACAACCCGTGTGCACGCGCTCGTATATCCAGAATCACATAACGAAGCAACGCGAACGCACACTGAGGCAAACGCGGAAATGCACATGAAGTTACCAAAATAGGCTCGTACAGACACCACAATCAACTACAAACACCTGAATCCTCCCACTGCTCACCCAGTGGGGTCAGGGTGAATGAAACAGACTGCAAGATGCTTCGGTCTCCAGGCAACACAGCCCACCTGTGGTGCTAAACAGGAGGGAGCCTCGCTCCGCGGCGCAAACCAAACGCACTCCTGCTGAGCCTGAGACAAGGTCAGACGTAAACGACAGACAGACACGTGTACGCAAGCACTCGAGCTGAGTTACACACAACGTGCGGGACGAGTAGAGGATCGTTCCCATGTTAGCAGCTGCTGACAATCTGATACAATCAGGAGTGAAGATGTGAGTCAGTGGATGGGTGGGTGAGGGGTGTGTGACTTTGTGGTTCAGTGCTTGAAGGGGCTTTCAGAGGAAAAAGTAAATGGCGAGACAAGGAACGCTTCCCGTATTTTAAACAAAGCCAAGCCTTGAAGCACTGATGCAGATGGCGGAGTCTTTGAAAAAGAAGAGCAGCTCCTTTCAAAAGAGTAAAATAAGTGAGCTGCTCCGTCGAGCCGGTGTAATCCCAGTTTCCTGCCAAACAACATGCCTTGCACACACAGGAATCCTGAAGTTGAACTGGCAAGTAAGAATCCCTTAGTTGGTGTTGGCAAGTCTGCAAAACAATGTTGTTTTTTTTCCCTGGACTGATATGGTGACACACAGCAGCGACATACAGAAACGTTGTTGTTTTTTCCCCCCAAGAAGAGTATAAACAGCATTTTTGTAGGTTATAACTTTGAGTTGTTTGTAATGTCTTCAGAAACAGGCTGTGGACAGTATTGCCACACAGCACAAAGGTAAACACAGAACGGAAGGTGTCAGAAGACTGTCCGCACAAACAGATCCCTCCAACTACAACAATATTTGGATAGAAACTCAACTGAGTCATCAGCAAACACAGGAGATGAACTCTTTGAGAAACTCCTGCTTTAGTCGTGTTGTTTGCTGATGAAACACCTCACAGTAGGATTAATTACTTTATCACGTCACAATGCGACGTCCTGATCAATTACATCAGTCAGCGGCTCTATCGGCATGTTTTTAATTAATTGTATTGTCTATATAAAGCTTTTTTTGCTCCGTTGTTTGTCAGCTGTCAGAAACGCTCCCTTGGGGCCCATTAAGACACTTACACACACAAAAAGACTAGAAGATATAGAATATATAACGAGGCGCCATGAGCAAGCTGTGATGCACATAGTTCTTGAAGGAGAGCTATTAAACTGACAAGCTTTAAGTGTCTTTAATAACTGTAACGTATGCTTACAGGAGCATGAATAAGTAGCTGAAAAATATATAATAAAAAAATAAAAAAACACTCATTTTAAACACTTTACAGAAGTGCAACTGGGGTGTGATTCAATGTTTTCTGACATTTTATAAACACAACGATCGATTGAGAAAAAATAATCAGGATATTAACTGATAATATACGCTACACTTTTATCTGCTGCCTCCATTGTACAGTATCAGCATCACGGTCAGTCTCCGGTCACGTGGTCGGCGCTGCTGCTGCAGCCTTCTCTATTGACAACGAGCTTGAATGAGAGCAACATGAAGACGAGCCAGTGACAGGCTGAGACTGCTACAGGCCGACACCAGTCTGCTGCTGCTGGCAGACAAACAGACACGCAAACAGGGAAAAAATGGACTCAAAACTGGACAAGGCACTGAAAATAGAGCACAGCAGTGCGGCCAGTGAGAGAGGCGGGTTTCATTTGGTGGTTTTCAGGTTTAAAAAGGACGGACAAAGACTCTAAAGAGTCAAAACAAAGACAGTCTGCCATCGATTACCACTTTGTGGAAAGGGAACGACTCAGTGAGATGAGCTACTGGAGAGTTTGGATGGAAAGGAAAGCTGCAGACTCACAGTGGCAAACATTACTGCCACTGAGATTAACAACTGTTCTCATTATTGATCATTGAACATTAATCAGTTACAAATTCTTCTTTAAATGTTTTGTTTTTACCAAAAGCCCAAAACAAATAATATACATGTTCAAATGTTGCTATCTGAGTACCTGGAAACTGAGAATGTGTTTGAGAGTCTGGTTTTTATTAAAAGATTATCATATACATAATATTTGCTGACTCATTTTCTCACAATAAACTACTAAATTAACCAACTAGTTGTTTGAGCTTGAAAGTTTACATCAGTTATTCACTTTAAAGTGTAAATGTAGATCGTTAAAGATTCATTTTAGGCTTGTGTATATTTTTAATAATACTGTTTTATAAAGTTCAGGAAACAGTGCTGACGTGAGGCCGATAACTGATGTATAAACAGCGATTTAAAATACTGATTTGGTGCATTTCCAACTCTTCTATCTCCCACTCAAACAATCACAACACTTTCGTTTACACACTGGTTTAATGCCTCCTGATGTTCCCTCTTTGGCGACATAGCGGAGATTCCTGAGCGTCAACCTCATGAATACTTCAGATGTTTTGTTCTGCGAGGTGACACCTAATGACCAACACACATTACAGTGTTCCTGAGGTGTGTCAGCCGGCAGTGACACGACGAGACCGACGGCGGTGACTTGCCCTTCACGTTTTTCAAGTCTTGGCCGGGCTCCAAACAGAGACAGCGGGGAAGGGAGTGTCCTGAAATCCACAGAGTGACCGATGATTTCCATCGTCACAGTGTGAAACTAAAAACAGCTGATGGGTAAGACAGAAAGTCAAAGCACACTGGCATCTCCCCACCCTGATAGAGATATATATATCTCATTATCAGAGCTGGATAGTGCTACGTATGTGTTTATAATCTAATGTTTATCTTGTGTTAATACCTTGTTTCCCCATAGTGAGGCTCAGGGCAGCATTTTAATGATATATTAATCATTAATCAGACTTTAAATGAAGCAAAACATATTTTAAAGTTCCTGCTTCTCAGATGGGATGATTTTGCCTTTCTGGGTTATATATTATTGTAAATTGTTCATATTTGGGTTTTGGACTGTTGATAATGAAAACAATTATTAGTTAGAGAGGGAATAAAAGTGGACAAACACACACGTTTACAACTCTACAGCAGTATTTGTGAAAGCTGACAGCTCAGCTGATGTTCACACTCAATCAGATGAACATCAACAACAAAACTTATCAAAACTTATTAAAACTTACATCTGGTTTCCCACAAACATGAGTCAGTGTAAGAAGACAGGCTGGTTACTAATATGGATTTAAGTGTCCACCACCTAACAGCAAGCTACTGAGTCAGAATTAAGTCTTTTTAACAACTAATTGTGACTGAATTTAAACCCACTTGACAACTTATATGTGTACAACATATGTGTAGGTTGTTGTCTTTACTTATTGTGTTGTTACTGTGTGTAATGCTGCTGCTGCACTGCAATTTCCCAGCTTGGGAT